AAAAAAAAAAAAAAAATTAGCTGGGCAAGGTGGCAGGCACCTGTAGTCCCAGCTACTTGGGAGGTTGAGGTAGGAGAATAGCTTGAACCCAGTAAGCAGAGGTTGCAGTGAACCAAGATCGTGCCACTGCACTCCAGCCTGGGTGACAGAGCAAGACTATGTCTAAAAAGATTTAAAAAATAGTATTTATACTTTCCTCATCCTATCAAACTCCTGGCCTAAACTTGTTTTTTCTTTTTTTTTTTAAGACGGAGTCTCGCTCTGTCACCCAGGCTGAAGTGCAGTGGCGTGATCTCAGCTCACTGCAACCTCCGCCTCCCGGGTTCAAGCAATTTTCCTGCCTCAGCCTCCCGAGTAGCTGGGACTACAGATGCCCACCACTACACCTGGCTAATTTTTTGTACTTTTAGTAGAGACGGGGTTTTATCATATTGGCCAGGCTGGTCTCGAACTCCTGACCTTGTGATCTGCCCACCTTGGCCTCCCAAAGTGCTGGGATTACAGGCATGAGCCACCGCACCTGACTAGCCTAAGCTTTTTATCTAGTTGTACCTTTTTTCTTCTGGCTCTGAAATTCTGTGAATTTCAAATTCTCTGTACTTTTCAAGTATGAGAGCAGCCCTGAAATTTAGGGAAGTATCGGCCCCCTAAGGACAAAAGAGAGACCACAGTATGATTAGCAGTCGTCTCCCCAACTCAGAAAGTGAGTTTTCCGAAGAAACAGTTCCCTTTTTCCAGAGCAAGGAACCCAGAAGGAAGAGACTTACCCATGCTGAACACCTACTGTGTACCAGGTGTTGTGCTGAGTGCCTACTGTATGCCTGGTGCTGTGCTGAGCACTTTGTACAAGCCCCCTAATCCTTATAAAAGCAACCCAATTAGGTGGGAGCCATTATCCCCATTTTGCAGATGAGGAAACTGAAGCTCAGAGAGGCTAAGTGACTTGCTCAAGGCTCATAGCTAGTTGGTGGCCCAGACTGGCATTTGCACCTAGGCTTGTCTGTCCCCAAAGCTGATGTCCTTCCTGCTGTCGCTCAAAATACACCTCCCTTTTCCTTTCCCTTCCAACACCTCAAATAGCACAGACCCCCTGTCCAGCACGGACCCAGGGAAGACCCCTCCCAGAACCCTGGTCTGCTGGCCTGGCTCCTCGGCCCCTGCTAACGCTGTGCCTACCTCCCTTCTTGCCCGTCTCAAGGCAGCACTGTACGCAGCCCCCTATAAATCCGACTTCCTGAAAGCACTCTCCAAGGGGCAGAATGTGACAGAGGAGGAGTGCCTGGAGAAGATCCGCCTCTTCCTAGTCAACTACACGGCCACCATCGATGTCATCTATGAGATGTACACCCAGATGAACGCCGAGCTTAACTACAAGGTGTAGGCGTGCCCACCGCTGGACACGCCCCTGACTCGTGGCCACACGGAGAAACAGGCAAACCAGAATCACTGTGAATCAAGTCTGTGAGCTGCCCCTGGCCTGCGTCCCCCAGAGCGGCCCAGGGTCCTGCCAGAGTCTGCAGGGGACAGCCCTCGTTTTTTAAGTCATTTTTTTTTTTTTGGTCTATTCTAAAGGACCAATAAATAATGATCTTACTTCCAAATCTCCTTGGAATTCACGACAGCACAGACTGACTTTATAGCTTCATTTCAGCGTGGTAAAAATTGATTAACACTTCTAATAAGTCAAGTCCTAGGGTTTTTTGGTTTTGTTTTGTCGCCAACGAGGAAAACGGCTCTGGGGGAATGGTGTCATCCACCTCACTTTAAAAATAAGCACATGATGGCCGGGCACCGTGGCTCACGCCTGTAATCCCAGCACTTTGCGGGAGGCCGAGGTGGGTGGATCACCTGAGGTCGGGAGTTTGAGACCAGCCTGGCCAACATGGTGGAACCCCATCTCTACTAAAAATATAAAAAATTAGGCGTGGTGGCGCACGCCTGTAGTTCCAGCTACTCAGGAGGCTGAGGCAGGAGAACCGCTTGAACCCAGGAGGTGGAGGTTGCAGTGAGCTGAGATCGCACCACTGCAC